CTGTTTCAGGGGCTTCTGTGAGCGGGGCAAATGAACGATCGCCATTGGAATAACTAATAGAAGAGTGCTCCTCTTCCGCCTCTCTTGTAACTCATTATCCTCTTCTTCCCCTCTCCCTCAGCGTCGCCCCCCGCGTTCCGTCTCGCATTTTGTCCCGCTTGATTACTTCTGTGGCGTCCACTGTGACCGCGCGCGCGCGTCGATTGAGAAACGACCCCCCTGGCGCGCGCCCCGCATAGAGCCGGGGCGCCGCCTGCGCGCATGTAAGCTCGGACCCCGACCTTACGAAGTGAAGCTTGGATTGCCGTCCGCCGCGGGACCTCCTGCGCGGAACAAGGGGGGGGGGGGATGGGAAGGAAGAGGGTGGGCGTGAGGTGGGGAGGGGGGGGGGGGTGGATAGAGGACGTCCACGGCGAGAATGCGGCGGGGAACCTGGCCCCTTGGGGCCACGTTGGCGCCTCTTGGGGCATCCTGGGTGGCTATGGGAAAGGGGGGGGGACATCGCGCGGGCGCGGGGCCGCTTCCTGGAGGGCGTTCGAGCTCGCAGTTGCCAGCGCCTACGTCCGTCATGGGCCCAGCTACTTCGGCACTCATGCGACAGACAAGGCTCGAGGGCTGATCTGTCGAAGGGGCTGCGGTCCTGGGCCGCCAAGGGCTCGTGGGGCATCTGCAAGGAGTGCCATGTCTTGCAGCCGCGGCCCATGCACGAGATCGATATGTTCCTCGACGCCAGCGAGGAGATCTCGAAGAGCGCCTGTCGCCGCTGCAACGCCTCTCGCGAGATGTACGTCCCGCTGCCCGATGACGTACCAGGGCCACTCCGCGGCCTGTCAGAGGAGATCGTCGAAGCCCTCCGGCCCATTGAGAACGACGTCGGCCCCGAGACGCGCTCCACCGACACGTTCGGCCGCCCGAACGGCTACCGCAAGAAGGTGAAGATGATCACGTTCTATTTCTCGAAGTGGCACGTCAAGGACAAGATCAAGGAGCTGGGCGATGACGCGTGGCGGACGGCGAAGAAGGCTTACAAGTACCTGCTGTCTTGCGAAGAGTCCTCGTGCAAGCGGTTCCACGACATGCACGAGAAGTTCCTCCGCAAGCAGGGCGAGGACGCTACCGACAGGAAGCGCAAGCGCCCATATCATTTCCTGCAGGAGGTCGGGCTGGAGTGCGCTCTCTGGCCAAACCTGTACTGGTGCACCGAGATGACGGAGACACACGAGCAGTGGTCCGACGCGAGGCGCGAGGAGAGGCGCGACGCCCAGGAGGCCAAGAAGAAGAAGGCAGAGTACGGCTACGACTCGGACGCCGAGGAGGACGAGGGCGGCGACGGCGGTGGCCAGCGCACCAGCGTCAAGCGGTCGTTCATGACCAAGTGCCTCTCGCCGGTGCTTGGGTACGGATCCAACTTCGAGCTGCTCCAGTTCGTGTACGACCTGAACCTCTGGGCGACCCTCGGTGCGAAAAAGAACCTGGGGCTCGACAACGTGCCGATGCGGATGCTCATGAAGGGCCATACCTTCTCGCCGCTCTATTGGAAGGAGGTGCACAATGCCCTTGTCGACCTCGTACGCCAGGTGGGCTTCCCGAAGCTGTTCTTCACATTGCGCCGTGGGAGCCGTGCTTCAAGTACCACGACTGGCTGCGCGATGAAATGGAGAAGACACTGCGAACCCGCATGTACCTCCCCGTGGGCGAGACGCTGCACATGTCGCACGTGCTCATGCAGATCGTCCGAGGCATGCTGGCGGGCAATAACTCCCAGAATATGGGCGACAGCAGCAAATGATGGACACAGCACGTGTTCGCCGCGAAAGACGCCGACGGCAAACAGGTTCGCGTCCAGACTTTCACGCGGCTGGAGTTCCAGGACGGCAGCCGCAAGGAGGGCACGAAGCGCTACGACGGCTCCGGCAGGCCGCACCTGCACGTCCTCTTCTTCGCGGACGACGACGCCATGGCGAACATGGGGTTGGAGCATCACATCTTTGCGACCAAGCCCGACGGCATCTCGGACGACCTGAAGGGCTATGTGGACGGATCGCAGCTCAACAAGCACGGCGACGCAGAGAGCAAGTGGCCGATCTACCACGGCCCGTCGGGGGTGCACGGCGACGATGGTGTCCTCCAGCTGAAGCACACCGAGGAGGACCACGACGCGGGCCTCCGAACGTACTGCGCTGACGTAATGGACGGGCTCCCTTGCCATCAGGACTGGCAGACCAGCGACGGGAGGCCATGCTCCTGCAATACGTTTCCAAGTATGTAGCGAAGTTCTCGGACAGCAGCTACGACGAGTGGATGAGCGACAAGGCCTCCGCGGACAGCGTGGCCAGGCGCGTCTGCTTCGAGTACCACCCCTACGAGCCAGAGATGATCCTGCAGCTGTGTGGAGCGCAATTCAGACAGTACGACATCTCTACGGACAGCGGCGGCTTCCGCACCGTGACGGCGCCTTACTCGGGCATGGCGGATGTGCCCGACTGGGTCCAGAGGTATGTTGACTGCTCGTGGCGCCACGAGGGCATGACGCTCTTGGAGTGGCTTCGGAAGACTACTGACGACGGCGCCATCGCTGGATGGCTGAAGCGCAAGCACAAGCAGGAGCTGGTGCTGGCCCTGTACAGGCGGTACCGCGCGACCGTGCACGAGGGCGAGGAGCCCCAGGCGCTCGACGCTCACTGGCGCTTCCTGCGCGCTGAGTACAAAGGCATGACCGATGCTGATGGCGGAGGTAGCGGGAACAGTGACGAAGACTCCGACGCCGAAGACGAGGAGCAGCCGAAGACCTTCGAGGAGTTCCTCGCGTAGAAGCACAGAGACGAAAAGAGCGAGGGCGAGGACGACTTTCCGAGCCTCAAGGAGTTCGCGCGAGCCTACCGCATGCAGGGCGAGAAGGTGGTCAGCGTCGACACGGTATACGAGCTCAACGACCGCTACTACGGCCAGTGGGCTGCCATGAACGTGCCGTTCCGATCGCTCGACGAGCTCGAGTTCGAGGATGTGAATCGCCTGGTTCCGCAGAAATACAAGTATCTCGCGGCGGCGCTGCGACTGTGCTCTGACCAGGGCCGCGTCGCTGAAGAGCACCATGACTTGTTCACCGATGACAGGCGGCTCGTGGACTACATGAGCGCTTCCGCGAAGTCAAGCAAGTTCACGGAGGCTGTGCTTCGCATGATCGTGGGGCAGCGGAAGCTGATCAACATGTACCTGACGGGCATCATCGACAAGGCCGACGAGAAGGCCGCGGCCGACGTCGAGGCCGCCGCCATCGGCAACCGCAGGCCCGCGCGCGACGAGGGCCAGGAGGAGGTCGACTTCAACCCGAAGCAGCTGCAGCTGGAGGAGGCGATCAACGAGCGCGTGGACCGCGCGGTGCGGGCAGAGCTGTCGGAGGACTGGGAGGAGGCCGACGAGGCGCGCGAGGAAGCCTACAAGAAGAACACGCCCGTCATCTGCTTTGGAAAGCCTGGAACTGGGAAGACCACCGTGGTAAAGTTTTGCATTCGGCGCGCCCAGGAGCAAGGCGCGCGCGTGCTCTTCGCCCTCCCGACGGCGCAGCTGTCCAGCCGCATGAGAGCCGCGCTGCAAGACCTGGGGGGCCTAACGGTGGACACGTGCCACGCCGCATTCAAGCTGCACGATCCAACCACAGAGAGTCTTCACAGGATGACGGACTTCGACTTGGTGGTGGTTGACGAGGTATCGCTGCTGAGTTGCGAAAGCTTCGAGCGCATCCTGAAGCTCTGGAGCGTCTCGGGGAAAGTCCCCGCGCTGGTCTTCCTCGGAGACAAGCACCAGCTCCCTGGGGTGGAGCCGACACGTCCTTGGGAGAGTGCCGCATGGAAGCGGCCGCGCTGCTTTCACGTGAAGCTAACCGAGACCTGGCGGTGCAAGGAGGAACGCTTCCAGGAGATCCTGGACGAGCTTCGGACAGACAAGCCCTCCAAGGAGACATTCCGCAAGATCGTGCGCGACCACAAGGCGTGGAAGAGCAGAGGCGACCCCACGCCCGCCGAAATGAAGAAGCTCTTCGAGAAGCACCCAGACACGCGGATCGTCACCTGCACGCGCAGGGGCGCTGCGGCCGTGAACGAAGCGGCAGTCGCTGCGCTGCACGGCCGCAAGACCCCGCTGGCCAGGCTGGACGGCGACGTGGAACTCAACCCCGAGAACTACCTGGATGGCAAGCTTCGCACTGATCGCCGTCTGGTCCCAAGCAGAGTACCGATTCACAAGGGAATGCAATTGTACCTGACGAAGAACAAGAACATGAGGCCGACGAGGTGAATGGTATGCTTTGCGTGGTGGAGAACTACCACGCCGAGGAGGACATGCTGCGCGTGATGACGAAGACGGGCCACCGTCTGTCGATCACTCGCTGGACCGACCGCGAGAAGGGCAATGCGGTCTACTTTCCGATTCGTCTCGGCTACGCCAGCACCATCGACAAGGTGCAGGGCGACGAGTTCCCCCACATCACGATATACCTGGACGGGTGGCCTAGACCAGCAGCAGGATATACAGCGCTCAGCCGCGTTGCAACGTCGGATGATTACTTGATCGGCGGCTTCGTGGAGCGCGACAACTTCATACCCGCGTTCTGAGATTGCCGACGGTGTCCGCGCTTTGGCTGGCGCGCGACCGCTTGCCTCTCGCAGTATCCACGCGGTGCGCCTGCCCCGCTGTCGCGTGCAAAGGCACGAACGTGCGCAGTCCTGCTAGGAAAATGATGGTCTGTCAGTGCCACGTCGGGGAAGGGAAGGAAAGCAGAAGGAAGGGCATACGTAGAGATTGTCTGGCGTTCTCGACACCCCTGGAGTTTCGAAACGGCGGGGAGGGGGAGCGCGAGGGGGCGGGTCTGGCGCCCCCTCGTACATGGCCACGGAAGGCGTCGTGTGATGCCCTTCGCGGCGGACTGCGCAGTGCGAGAGGGCGCCGGGCGCGTGCCCCTCGCGCTCCCTCCCGTGAAACCCCGTGGGACTTGAAAAACGACCTCTGGAACTCCTCGGGGCTTGCTCTGCGAGGTCTTGGGCGAATCACTTGGGTCCGCGGAGCCGTTCGGCGCATCTGCGTCGTTTTTTTGTCGCGTCGCGATTTTCTGTTAGATGCACCAGCAAGGCACCAAAGCATAGCCGAAGAAGCCGCCGGAGGCAGAACGTTCTGCAAGGCACACCAAGAAGGCCCAAGGGGCCGCCGTAGGCGTATGTCCACGTGCGTTACGCTCCCCAGCACAGCCAGAGAGGCCGCCGTAGGCGTGTTTTCACGTGTAAGGCAGTCCCAGGGATGGGACCTACCTGGGAGCGCTTGGGAGCGCCAGGGAGCGCCTGGGAGCGCCTGCGAGCGTGCCGGGAGCGCCTGAGAGCGCCTGGGAGCGCCATGCGCCTGGGAGCGCTTGGGAGCGCTTCGGAGCGTGCCGAAAGCTCCGGGGAGAGCTTGGGAGCGCCGGGGAACGCTTGGGAGCGCTGGGGAGCGCTTGGGAACGTTTGGGAGCGCCTGGGAGCGCCGGGGAGCGCTTGGGAGCGCTTGGGAGCGCCTGAGAGCGCTTGGGAGCGCCTAGCAGCGCCTGGGAGCGCCTGGGAGCGCTTGGGAGCGCCTGGGACGTGCGCCAGCCGAAAGGACGCCGCATGCTGTATTTTCATATGGTTTGCGGCCCCACGGACGGCCGAAAGAGCGCCGCATGCTGTATTTTCATAGGTTTGGAGCCCCAGGGGATGTAGGCGCGCGCAGCGAAGCCTTTGGCTGGGCCTAGGGTTTAGGGTTCTATTCATCTCTCAGAACTCACGAGGCATCCCCGCGGGGGAGCGCATCCTCCTCAGCGCTACGCGCTTCGTCGGTGCGGCGTGCGCGCATGGGCGGACTCGCTGATCGCTCGGCCAGGCGCCACGGGCTTCTGACGATGCACCGCCCGTGGCTTGCAGTTTAGGGTTTAGGGTTTAGGGTTTAGGGTTTAGGGTTTAGGGTTTTAGGGTTTAGGGTTTAGGGTTTAGGGTTTAGAAGGGCTTTAGGCCTTTAGGCTTTTATGGTTTTAAGGGTTTTTTTTTTTTTTTTTTTTTTTTTTTTTTAGGGAGGTTTTAAAAATTTTTTTTGGGGGGAAGAAGAAGAGAAGGTGGGTGGTTTTTTTTGTTTTTTTTTTCGTTTTTTTTTGAGAGGAGAGAGTGTTGTTGGGGTTTTGGTGTCTTTAGGGTTTTAAGGTTTAGGGGTTAAGGGTTAAGCGGTTCCGGGTTAGGTTAAGGTTTAAGGGCTAAGGTTTCCAGGTTTAAGGGTTAAGGGTTACCGGGTTAAGGTTTAAAGGGTTACACGGTTCCAGGGCTAAAGGGTTAAAGGGTTACAAGGGTTAACAGGGTTTAGGGTTTAGGGTTTAGGGTTTAGGGTTTAGGGTTTAGGGTGTCCTCTGTCAGCGCTTGCTGATCATCAGTCGTGTAAGACCACCCCCACCCATAAAATGGAGTGGGGGTGGGGTAATCGTGTTGTGGTGATATCATGTTGAGCGGAATCATGATTCGGCAACGGGGCCAGCTCCCCTTTTAACATTCCCACCCCGCGCCCGTTAGGGCGGCGAACCACCCACGGCTTTCTCTATTAGGGTTTAGGGTTCATTCGGTAGTCGAGGTTCTCTTTCTCTTAGGGCTCCACGATTCCAATCGGTTTGGCGATCTTTCTCATATGTACGCCAAAGAATGCTTTGTGTATCGCACGTACACAGATACCCTCTTGAGTTTTAAGATATGCGCACTCCTGGGTTTAGGGTTGACGCTATACGTCGGGGGAAAGGGTTTGGGGTGAAACGCCGCGCGGGCGTTTGATTGTGCGCTTGTGGCGCCGGCTCCGCTCGCTTCGCTCGCTCCGCCGATACCGCTCCTCTGGAACTACGAAATCCAGCTGGCGCGCTCAGAAGCGCCCTGGGCACTGGGCGGCAGCTGATTCACAATGAAGAAATGCTTTGGAAGGCCTTGGAAGAGCCCTGGGGGGCGCGGGGTGGGCCCTGGGGGGGCCCTGGGAGGGCCCTGGGGAAGGTTCAGGTGCGCCCTGGGCCCTGGACGGCTGCCAATTCACCGTGATGTGCGCCTGGGGTGCCCTGGGAGGGCCCTGGGAGGGCCTTGGGGAGGGTTCAGGTGCGCCCTGGGCCCTGGGCGGCTGCCAATTCACCGTGATGTGCGCCTGAGGTGCCCTGGGGTGGGGCCCTGGGAGGGCCCTGGGGAGGGTTCAGGTGCGCCCTGGGCTCTGGGCGGTTGCCAATTCACCGTGATGTGCGCCTGGGGTGCCCTGAGAGGGCCCTGGGAAGGTTCTGGGAAGGCCCTGGGGAGGGTCCAGGTGCGCCCTGGGCATTGGGCGGGTGCCAATTCACCGTGATGTGCGCCTGGTGTGCCCTGGGAGGGCCTCGGTAAGGCCCTGGGAGGGCCCCGGGGAGGGTTTCAGGTGCCCCCGCGGCTTTGGCGCTCAAGCCGACCGTTGAATGTTTTTTTTTGTCATGTGTTTTTTTTTACGCCCGGGGTGGGCCCTGGGAGGGGCCCTGGAGGGCCCTGGGCGGGGTCTCTGGGGCGGGAGCTAATTCCCTTGAGGTTGGTCTTGGGGTGCCCTGGTACCCTCTCACGGAGACCCGAGTCGCCAGGAACGGTCTGTGGCCCCCAGGGAGGCCCTGGACCCCTGGGCGGGAGCTAATTCACAGCGGCGCGTTGGTCTGGGTGCCCTGGACCATCCCTGGCGGGAAACCGAGTCGCCAGGAACGTCGTTGGCCCCCAGGGAAAGCCCTGGAACCCCTGGGCGGGAGCTAATTCACCGTGACGTTGGTCCGGGGTGCCCTGGGA